AACCCCTGGTGGAGGGTGGACCTGCTGGAGTCGTACATCGTCACTTCCATCATCATCACCAACAGAGCAGACTGCTGCGCTGAAAGGCTCAACGGGGCAGAGGTTCACATCGGCAACTCTTTGAAAGACAATGGTGCCGCAAACCCAGTGTGAGTGATCTTAAAGACTTCATAGTCTATATAGTAGAGGACTATATAATCACCAAAGACGTATACATAAACATGTGACGTTTGATGTTTGAAATACTGCCTTCTTCTGGCAGGTTATTTGTAATTTATTCTTTTATACGTTTATACTTTTAAAGTACTGGAGTTTTAAAATAATGTTCTCCGATGCTTCCTCTTTCTCTTCTTTAGGGCTGCTGTTATTCCTCACATCCCAGTTGGCAGGTCTTTAAAAATCACTTTTACCGGACTTGTGGAGGGACGTTTTGTGACTGTGGTTCTACCCGGTTTAAAAAGGATCCTTACACTCTGCGAAGTGGAAGTCTACGGGTTCCATGCCCCAACTGGTGAGAGTTGAATATATTTGGATGAAGTGTCACATGGTTTGATTTTCGAGTTGATGCCTCTGCCTCTTTTTATATAAAACTGCTTTCATTTGAAAAACTTCAGGCACTTCCTGTCACTACAGTAATAAAGATAATCTCTCTTTAATTAGATTAGTTACTTGTGAGGAGAACAGTTCTCAACAGTCTCCTGGACTCTTGTTGAAGAAAACAATTTATAAATGTACACTAGTAGCTGCTGGTTCATCCCTCCAGTTTTGCAATTCTGATCTAAATAAAAAACATGCATCCTCACAACTTTCACTGCAGTTAGGAGAATTACAAATACTTGTGGAATCCACTTTCAAGGCATACACAGATTGGGGCCACATTGTTTTTCAGAAAGCATCAAGGAAAACCCATTATCAGTGTTGATATTTCCAAATATGTGCTTTGTGCAGCAGAGAACCTGGCAATCCAAGGAAAAGCCACACAGTCATCGCTTCATTCTACAGGCATTGCAAGCAATGCTATTGATGGGAATCGAAACACCCTCTGGAGCCAGGCTTCTTGTACTCACACCGCATCCGAATTGAACCCTTGGTGGCGCCTGGACCTGGGCAAAACCCACAAAATATTTTCTGTTAACATAACCAACTCCAGAGATGTTAATTTACAACTTGTTGGAGCTGAGATTCGAGTTGGAGATACTCTTCAGAACAATGGCAACAGCAATCCCAGGTACTTTAATGTCCATTAACTAAACATTTGAACATTTATAGAGTTGTCATTGGGTATGTTTGAATAAACTAATTATGCGCGATAAAAACATTATAATTATTGAACATAGGTTAGGCATAACATAGCAGTATCTTACATTTCTCACAATAGAAATAAGAAATCTTTCTGAGAGTCTATTTATTTAACTGATTTTTGATGTGTTAAAGTATGTTCTTCTTCTTCAAGGTGTGCTGTGATCTCAAGAATTCCTCCAGGTTTCACTGAAAGCTTTCAGTGTAACGGGATGGACGGTCGCTACGTTAACATCGTCATACCTGGGAGAAGCGATTACCTAGCCCTGTGTGAGGTGGAGGTGTACGGCTCCAGACTGGATTAGGTGAATACAGTTCAATCTCAGTTTCAGCCAAACACTCATCATTATAACTTTGGTGAAGGTAAGATTTACTGCAGGGCTGTTTTACTAAGCTGCATTTTAGATACAGTGTGCCAAAAAAACTGTCAACTAAGTGTATCTGGCTCTTCGGAGGCAACAGACTTAAGAAGGTAAAAAAGAATATCAAAATGATTCCAATAAAAACATCCAATTACCAAAGATAAAACTATTTATCTTGCCAATTACAGGGCTTACACCGACAACAGCTCAATCTAGGCACTTCCAGTTCAAGTCTTTCAAAGGACCAAGTACAGAGTGTTCTGGTACTTTAACAGGCGGCCGGTGCCCACAAGAAAGCCACCGGACCCCCATGCTGACCCCCAATGCGCTATAAAGCTTCCCAATGCTTCTAGTACTGGTATGGGTAATATTGAAATGAATTATGTTGTGAATGTATATGTATAAACGTTATACTTTTGTATTTGTACTGATCATACTGTGTTTTTTAAAGCTATTGCTGAATTGTTTTTGAATAAGTTCAAGATCTATAAAACTGAGCTTTAGTACGGTCATTGCCTGCATTTAGATATTAAGAACAGTTCTCAACAGTCACCTGGACTCTGGATAGATGAAGAAAATACAATTTACGTACAACTAGTATTATATGATGTTGTTTTTGCTGAAATAAATTGAAAGGATAAAACAAACGTTTTTCTTTAACCTGTATTCATTCATTCCTCATTGGACAGTTATATTGTGTTAAATGTTAACATTATTATCACCTACTGAGGTTTAAGGGTGCTTGAAACTCACACAGACACATAGTCCAGTAAATGGAAAGTTTTATTCTTGCAACATGTAAGTAAATAAGGAGTGTACATATATGTTTAGGTTACATTATGACATTAGTTGAACGTACATTGCAACAATGTTAACATGCAATTCCCCAAAACATACATTTGTACTTCCTGGTCAGATTATAAGAGATAAAATAGTAAAGTTAAGGTATATTTGTACTATATGCTGATCATACAAGGTATACAATCACAGTTTGAATTGATCATTTGCATCTGGATTATAATATTGATGATGAAAAAGGCATTCAAAAAATGTGTTGTGACATCATCAAAAGCAGAAAATAAAACCAGAGAAGATCTGATCGGTTCATGGATTTCTGTAAAAACGTTTTTTTTACACCGATTGACTATAATGTATTTAATTTATTAGATACATATATGTCCCGTCGCAGGCCAAATTGGTCGCTTTCCATATTTTCTTAATTATAAATGCGACAGTTTAACACAATAAAAGTAGAGTGGAAACATTAATCCGTTAATATTCATTATGTTTGGCAAGCCACATTACTTTTTTGTTGGAGAGTCTCTGGTTAAACAAGGTACAAGTCCCATCAATATGCAGCTAGCAAAAGAAGATGAAGCTATGATTGAAATTAAAGTATCAATAAGATAATCAGATGTTGAAAATCGTTCTCCTCAGACCTAATCCAGTCTGGAGCCGTACACCTCCACCTCGCAGAAAACCAGGTACTGGTATCTCCCAGGAGATGAAGATGTTGACGTAGCGACCGTCCATCCCGTTACACTCAAAGGTTTCGGTGAAACCTGCAGGGATGCTTGAGATCAAAGCACACCTAGCAGAAGAAGACATGTGTTTGTCTTTGAATGATCATTTGAACACATTTTGGTACAAATATTTTAAAGAGATATTACTGTGAGTATTGCCAAACTTATATATTATTATATTATATTTATAGAGCATACAAGTGTGGTTCCAAACAAAACTAATGACAAATATTCAATCACAAACTTTTAACTACAGTAGTAACACAATTAAAGGTCTGTAAAGTACCTGGGGTTGCTGTTGCCATTGTTTTCCAGAGAATCTCCAATTCTGATCTCAGCTCCATTAAGTCGTGTCGCCCCATTATCTAGAGTATTGGTAACTTTGACAGAAAATATTTTGTGGGTTTCAACCAGGTCCAGACGCCACCAAGGGTTAAGATTGTTCTGTGTGTGGATACAAGAACCCTGACCCCATTGACTTGCACGATTTCCATCAATGGCATTGTAAGCTAAGCCTTGGAAAACATACACTGATGACTGTGAAGCTTTTCCCTGGAG